GTGAAATCCTTCATGTAAATACACAGATATTGCAAAAGTCTTTGTACTTTGATATCTACCGAGTGACCCCAGTCAACCAGCTTCCTGGTAATTTCACTTAAATTCAGAGCCACACTCGGTAACGGCTCATGAAGCAGATTTAAGCCCCAAACAGCAGCGCTGGACTCTCTGTGCTAACACCCCCGGGGAGCCCGCCATGCTGTTACTAGTCACGGTCATCCTCACCCTGTGGGTCTCCTGGGCTCGTGGACAAGGTGAGTGGAAACTGACGGGAATATTTAGCTCCTTCTTAAGTAGAACTTTGCCCATTTTCATTTGCTTTTACTTGTTTTAAAAATCCTCACCTGAAGGTACTTTTCCATTGATCTTTAGAGAAAGAGTGAATATGAGGGAGAAGAGGAAGAGAGACACACATACACACACATTGATGTGAGAGACACATGCACTGGTTGCCTCTCACACAAGCCCTGACCAGGGCCTCGGTTAGAAACTGCCACCAAGACATGTGCCCTTGACCAGCAGTTGAACTCACCGGCGATGGGTATTAGAAGGTAATTTACCAAAACCTTGGTCTCTGCATTCATTAGGGACAATCTCTCACACTTGGCAAAGAGATACTTTAGAATGAAAGGAAGAGGAATGATGAAAAGTACCGAGACCGGCTAAATAATAGCCACCTTTGACCAAATTCATCCGTCCCTGTGCAAACTGGATGTTCCTACTGATTCACAGCAGGGAGTGCCCATGGGGGATTATTATCCCGAATCTCAATGATGTCTTCTCACAGTAGGAACCATGCGGCCTCACACTTTGTACAGTCTCAGCTGTCACTCTTTTGGACAGAGGCACCTGCCCCGGCAATGTTTTAACAGCACCGTCTACTTTCATGGAGATGATGAGAGTAGGGAATTACAATTTGTCAAGGGCAGTATGCCCACTGCTTGCAAGCACCCACCAGAAGTTCTTCTATTCCTAACTAATCCAGCAAAATTCTCCCAATAGTATTTGGTTGGTCTCTTAGGGAAACGTGTGTTTCTATATGTGTCTCATAGCTTTGGACTTCAAGCATTGGTGTTAAGAGTAGCTAAGAGTAAAAACTAAGATATGTAGACTGGACTGCAATGGGAACCTGGAAATATAGTATATATAGCAGATTAAAGTGAGAGAAAAACATGCATTGAAATATATATTTATTGTTTTTAGAGAGGAAAGGAGAGGGAGAGTTAGAAACATCAATGATGAGAGAGAATCATTAATAGGCTCCCTCCTTCACTCCCTGCCCCGGGGGATCAAGCTGCCAACCTGGATATGTGTCCTCAGCAGCAAACAAACCCTGACCTCCTGGTTCAGAGGTCATGCTCCACCCCGGAGCCACACCGGCCAGGAAAAATAAACATATTTAAGGCTCATTTGAGGTTCGTGTCGATTAACATCCAACACTGCAGACAAATTTTACTTAACACTGTGACTAGGTGATCAGCGTGTGACCCTCCAAGAATTGCAAACAGTCATTTCATTGCTGACAGGAGCAAATATGACCTGGGACACACAATCACGTACTCCTGTACAAGTGGATTTTCCCCTTTCTCCTGGGGAAATACTGCAAAATGTACTGACAAAGGTTGGGATCCTCCTCCAAGATGTAGCTGTACGTTCCCTCCATATCTTCACCTACTTCTTAATTCTGCAAATACTTCTCTTAAACGTAAAAATACAGGAGATCTACCCAACTGGGGTGGCGGGGACACACAATCACGTACTCCTGTACAAGTGGATTTTCCCCTTTCTCCTGGGGAAATACTGCAAAATGTACTGACAAAGGTTGGGATCCTCCTCCAAGATGTAGCTGTACGTTCCCTCCATATCTTCACCTACTTCTAAATTCTGCAAATACTTCTCTTAAATGTAAAAATACAGGAGATCTACCCAACTGGCGTGGCTCAGTGGATGAGCATCGACCTATGAACCAGAAGGTCATGGTTCAATTCCCGGTCAGGGCACAGGCCCGGGGTTGCCGGCTTGATCCCCAGGGTGGGGAGTTCAGGAGGCAGGCGATCCATGATTCTCTCTGTTCATTGATGTTTTTCTCTCTCTCCCTCTTCCTTCCTCTCTGAAGTCGATAAAAAATAAATAAAATATCAAGGGGACCTAATAAGTCCTAATCTTGGCCTCAATGAGAAGGTAACGTAGAGGCTCAAGGCAGTCTTTGATTTCCAAAGTCTCCAATTCTAAGAACAAAACCACATTTTTGTTAATAAAACTTTTAATTTTTTGCTAATCAGTGTTCAATATGTGGATGTGTATGTATGAATATATGTTTCTCTCACTAATATTCTAATATGTGAATTAGATCACTGGGTAAGAACGCTACCAATCAACACCTAGTACATGAGATATTGGTGTCTGTGTAACAAACACCCCGAATATACGGCCTCAGACAACAGCCCCCTGTGTGTCAGCGTCGGCGGGTCAGGATTTGGGAGCCGCTTCTCTGCCTGGGTCTGGGGCCTCCCTGCTGCTCCCTGG